AACAAGAGCTTTCTTAGGCAGGAAATTTGCCTTTAATCCAAGTTAATGTGGAGGAAAAGTATCTTGGTGATAGCATATGCAGTGCAGAACAACTGTGATGAAAAGAAAATTTCATTGTGAGGGGTGCGTGGGGTGATCTGGAGAAAATTATAGATAAGAGGAGCATAAGTTGTGTTTGTATAGCTTTATTGAAATATAGGCAGTAAAAAGGAACCTGAAACTTCATTGTAAAGAGGTATATAGGGATGAGCATTTGGCTTGGTGATTCAGATGCTGGTTGGGATGCCTGCATCCCATATTAGTACCTGGATTCTAGTCCCAACTCCACTCCTGATTCCAGCTTCCTGCTGTGGAGACCCTGGGAGGCAGCAGGAGATGCCTCGGATAGATGGATCCCTGCTAATCACATGGGAGACCCAGGTTAGATTCCCAGCTCCTGGCTTCAGTCTGGCCCAGCCTCTGCTTTTACGGGCATTTGAGTGAATCCGTGAATTTGAGGAATGGGCCAGCATTTGAGGAGTGAAACTGTCTTCATTAATGTTCAGGAAAAGGAGGCTGAATATAAACAAGTAAATACAGTTTTATGCAAGATAGTCTCAGATTACGCTACATAAGTGCTGTTAAGAGCCATGGGAGGATAAGTGGGAACAGGAGAGTGTGGGGAGCAATCCGGACTAGACTAAGTTACTCGAATTAGGACTTATTCTATGCATCTGCTCTCCCACAATATGGCGCTGGGAGAGAGGTAAACAGCTTCCGCACAGCTGCCTCCAGTTCAACTAATAAACTGTAGGACTTGCTCCTGATTGGAGGAGAGCAGCGTACTCGGCGTGTGGGCAGCCGAGTTGGGATTGGCGGAGGAGGACTATAAAGGAGGAGAGAGACGGCATGCATCGGGAACATCTATGGGGAACATCTAAGGGAACCCGTGCAGCCCCCAGAGAGCCGGCCGGCGGTGTGCCGCTCCCCTGCGGAAGTGGGGAATGTGGCCAGGGGGAACTGCCCTTCCACGGAGGTGGAAGGGATAGTAGCCAACCCGGGAAGAACCAGCAGCAAACCCGGGGAGGGCCGAGCAGACGAAAGAACAGCGCAGGGTCCTGTGTCGTTCCTCCACGAAGAGGGGGAGCGACATAATGGTGCCGTGACTCGGATATGAAGCCTAGGCAGGGTTTAGTGTCGTTCCCCCATGAAGACGGGGAGCGACATAATGGTGCCGTGACTCGGATATGAAGCCTAGGCAGGGTTTGGTGTCGTTCCCCCATGAAGACGGGGAGCGGCAGAGAGTACAATACTTCCCTTTTTAGAAATGTCTTTTTTTGTTAAAGATTTATTTATTTACTTGAGAGGCAGAGTTATAGAAAGAGAGAGGTCTTCCATTTGCTGGTTCACTCCCCAAATGGCTGCAATGGCCAGAGCTGGGCCAATCTGAAGCCAGGAGCTTCTTACCACAAGTGGATGCACCATCATCCCAAATGGGCACCGGTTCGAGTCCTGGCTGCTCCACTTCCAATCCAGCTCCCTGCTGATGGCCTGGGAAAGCAATAAAAGATAGCCCAAATGTTTGGGCCCTTGCGGCTATATGGGAGATCCGTAAGAAGACATTCTAAAAATACAAGTATTGTACCCCGCTGTGGCTGAACTATCCCATACTGTTTGATGAATGGTCAGGAGCCAGGGGAGGATGTGGGGGTAGAATGGCCCATGCAGGGGGACAGAAGGGCCCTGTGGCATGTGAAAGAAACAATGGGAAAAGCAGAGCTATGAGAGCATACCAGAGGTATCAAAGATCATGGAGGCACATAGTTAGATTATATTTTAAGATGGTGAGAAGCCAGTGGAGAATTTTAAGCTGAAGAGTGATGACTGTAGATTTGAAGAGAGAGAGAAATACTTGTGGGAGATTAGCTAGCAGGTTTGCCAGTCTGAAAATATGAGCAAAGCTTTTTCTGATGAAAATTACAAAAGTGACCAAGAGGCAAGATGTATTCATGGCAGAGAAGTCCTGTAGTTGCTACCGAGCGGAAGGATGAAAGGACATCAGGTGGCTTCCCAGGGATCTCACGAGTTCAGATGTTCAGAGTGTGTGAGACTGTGGGAGCAGCACACAGCCAGCCAGGTCAGAGGCAAGCAAGGAATGTGCCGCTGAGCATTCGCAGGGACTCAGGAAACAAAGAAACAGGGGGCTGTTAGTGGTTGTAATGTCAGTATGTATAGAGCAAGCAAATACATGGGCACAGAGTAAAGCCTCTGCATCGAGAAGGTAGTCTTCACTGAGTTGCTCACTTAATCAGATACTTTTAATGGGCACCCATTGTATGCCAGACCCTGTGTCCATGTCACCCCCTCCACATCCTCATCTCTGTCTGAGCCTGTCCCTCTGCACACTGCCTTGTCCACGTAAGGTCCCAGGGTCCTGCTCATGTCCTTGTACAGCTTGTCTCAGGCCATTTCCCTCCCTGTAGTCTGGCTTCCTAAGGGTCAGTCTGGTGAGAGCCTTGTTGTATCACTCACTGAGAAAGTTAGCTCATGGATGGCACTTGAACTCCAACAGTGGATCTCAGTTTTGCCTGCACATGAGCAATGACCTGGGAAGCTTTTAAAAATCCTGATGGCTGAGTCCCATCCCTGGGGACTGTGATTTAGTTGCTCTGAGATGTGGCTTGGGTATCAGGATATGCAGGTGATTGAATATGATGCCAGGGCTAAGAACCGCTCATTTACAAACTCATTCAAAACTCGAGCTGGGGTGGATTCTAATAATAGCTTTATTTGTTCCTCAAGAGACTTGTAGACCAGTGTTCAAAATAGTTCATGTGAATATATAAAACTTCAAAGTGACTATTTCTATTTTGTGTTAATTTGGTAGGTAGAGAGGAAGGAAATAGTATCATTCCTTCTTTGAAAATCAATTCCTAGAATATCTCGGGGCTCATTTGCAGCAGTGGCAAAAATAACTAGCATTGGTGAGCTCTTAACGTGTGCTAGCCACTATGCTAAGTATGAGAATGCTTCAAGAAATTCGTGGAAAATGGAATCGAAAGATGTGTTTACTGTGGTAAGCATTTGGCGCCACAGTTACCATGCTGCTTGGGACACACACATCTCACATTGAAATGCAGGTTCAACACTTGGCTCCTCCTCTTCAATCCAGCTTCCTGTTAATGCACACCCTAGGAGATGTGCAGATGATGGTTCAAGTACTTGGGTTCCTGCCATCCTCATGGGAAACCCAGGTTCCTGGTTTCCACCTGGCTGAGCCATGACTATTGCAGGCATTTGGAGAATGACCCAGTGGAGAGAAGACTTCTCTGTGTCTGTCTCTCTCCTTTTCAAAGAGAATGAAAATAAATTTTTAAAAATATTTTAAATAAGTTATTTTGGTGCAAAAATTTTGAAATACCTGCATAGTTTTTACATTATACACATTTTTTATGACTTTTTTGAGAAATGCTCAAACTTTAAGCTCTTCACATTTTAATCCTCACAGCAACCCCACAAGTGAGCACCAGGGGATCTTATGGTCTGGAGAGCACATCCGTGTGCCCCAAGCCACACAGAAAGCAGGGCCACACTGGAGAGCAGGTGCATCTGGAGCCAGAACTTCACTAACAGCTTTCTAGGAGATGAGGCTGTACCTGCTTAAATGTTGGGATTCTTTTGTTTACCAAGAGCATTCCACATTCACTCCCAAGCTGCCCAGGTATATTCAGGACCTGAAGACCATTTGATAAGTTATTTTTTTTTTCATGTACTCAGGATACATTCCTTTAGAAAAACACCTACTCTTGTTCCTAACCCAGCAGAACCTACCCCATCTTATCTTCCTGATAACTTTCTTGAGGCAGTGGAAATGCAGTACTTACCCCATTTTGCAGAGAGGGGAACTAGATGCCGTGAATCAATTAACTACTAGATTTTAGAAGTAACTGCCACTGATTGGGCTCTGACTGAGTGCAGCTCTGTCCAGTTTGTGTGCTGTGTATGATCCTCAGTTTATAGATGGGAAAACTGAGAAGGAAAATGGTGAAGCCAGTTGCCCAGAGTGATACAGTGGGTGCAGTGTTTGTTTGCTTATTTGTTTTTGTTTTTCCAACTTGCTGGTGAGCAAAACTGCAAGACACAGGCTTCATTTGCTTTCCCCCCTTAACCTTGTCTTGAATAAACCATTGAAGCCTAAACTGGATTTTCCTTGTGTATATCAAGTGACCACTTAAAAGCTATTGTGAAACAAAGACTTCTCTTCTACCTTGAATATCATGGTGAGGTCAGATAGCCACTAAGTATTCTTTCTCCATGAGCGGATGTTTAACCTAGCAATTAAGACAATCAGACTGTACATCAGAGTACCTGGTGTTCGATTCCTGGCTCTAGCTCCTGACTCTAGCTTCCTGCTAATACAAACCCTGGGAGGCAGTGCCGATGGCTTTAGTGCTTGGGTCCTTGCTACCATGTCGGGGTGAGTTCCAGGCTCCTGGCTTCATCCTGGCCTTGTCCTAGCACTTGAAGGCATTTAGGGAGTAAATCAGTAGATGAAAGTGCTCCGTCTCTCTCAAATAAGTAAGTAAATAAAGTTTTTAGAAATATATTCGCCCTTCAGACATCCCAGTATGAGGCTGTTTTGGTGTAAACAGCCCTTGGAGGTGAGAACTGGCTCTCAGAACAAGTTCACACTCCATCTACCTCTGAGCCCTGCTGTCTCACACGGTTTCAGACTGTTGATGAGAAACCAGCCGCTGTTGCTGGGTCACTTGGCACAGACACCATGGGCTAACCCCTTCTGCTCCTTACTGAGGAATATGCCAGTGGATTTTCTCTTTCTTCCAGCATTTAAAGACTTGGTGTTTGCTGGCTGGCTGAAATATACATACACACACAGTTCTGTAGGGAGAATAACTCTATACAAAGAGTAAGAGGCAGTGTGGCGAGTGCATGGGTACCAGTGGCAGCGGGTCGCTAATTGAGTGCAAACCTTTTCTAAAATGTTGTTTATCCTCCTACAGGGCATACAAAACCATTGAGGATGATGACTTGAAATTTCCCCTTATCTATGGAGAAGGCAAGAAGGTAGGTGCTCTGTCTCACTGCCTGCCACTCTATGTCATCTTGGTAGCTCATGGTTTTATAGCCTTGACAGCTTGGAAAAATAGCACAACCATACTTCTTCCTTCAGGCCTCCTGTCTGGGGGAGGAGGTGGTGGAAGGGGTGCTGAAGGAGGGGTGGGACTAAGGTGGCAGGTTGTCAGTAGACACAAGGGGCTAAAAGCACTATCCCCCTTCCCATTCTGTCTGAATCCTGTCGCAGTGTTTGAACATGGCCACTTCCATCTACCCCATTTCATCTGGTGTCTGCTGACAAGCCAGGAAGTAGGTCAAGCTGGCTGTGGTAGATGCACGAGGTAACTGGGACTGTGAGGGTAACACAGCTCAGGCAGAGCCACAGGGCCAGCTAGGGGTGGCTTCAGATGGGTGTCACGGTTGTCTACATCTTTCTACTCCTCTCATGCTGCACCAGGCAAGTTCACACTTTGCAAGTCTGCTTTTCCATTGGCCCCTTCCACCCTCCAAGGAAGGGTCTCCAAACTCCATTGTAACTGAGCCATAGGAACACAACAGCCAGAGCCCAGGCTAAGACCATCGTCAGCTCCTAGGGCCCCCGCCAGGAGCCAACACTGAACAGCACGTTGTCGAACCCAAGGAAGGCTGTCAGCCTTGGAGACCTGGAAGGGGTTGAAATCCTGGAGTAGAGATGGGAAGCTTTGAACCCATGTGCCAGTAAGAACAGGCACCTTCTGAATCACGGCATTCCTCCTCTGACACTAACACATTTCAGCTTGGTGCTCAGAGTTCCAATTAGAAGTGAAAAATGTGCTGACAGGAGTCTTCAACTGAAATCCTTTTCAGCATTCAGTAGTTTCACAAGCAAACCGAAAGATGCTTTTGTGGATAGAACCTGTGTGTGTGTGTGTGTGTGTGTGTGTGTGTGTGTGTGTGTGTGTAAAAGCTGTCTTTGTACCCCTAGTATCTCTAGTCTGGGACCTGCCCCATGGCAAACATGGGTCTAATACCAAATGCCTTAGTATTCAATAAGCTGGTCAGCTATGTCAGTATGCTCCTTAGGGCAACAGGAAAACAGACTGATGTACTCTTACAAGTTTATCAACAGTAAGGTTTAAAGGGACAGGGGTTTTCCCAGTTAAATGAAAAGTTCAAAACATCATTTCAGGTAATTAATACTTGACAGTCCTCTGATGAGTTCTGTCATTGTACCTGTTGGCCTGTTCAGAAGCCACTGTGTCTCCACTTAGCTTGTTACTGATTGGTGGGCTTGCCCAGTACCAAGCTGCACACTATGCCTGTGTAAAGACTCCATGATTCCTTGGTGTTCTGTCTACACCCTTTGCAGGGGGTTTCTCTTTCCTCTCTGCGGATACCTCTGGAGAAGTTTCAGAATGCTTGGAGGCCAGGATTTTCCTGATATTTCCAAAAATTCTGTGAATGATTTGTGTGAGTGACACCTGTAGACTTTGTAACCAGCTCAGTCACTAGCAGAAATACCAAATCTCTTTGGACTGCAACACAGGTGTGTGTTTTTTTCATCCAGAGATGCTGCACCACGAAGAGAGAGCAGATGGGTCGCCAGAGACGCAGAAGGTTCACCTTTCCAATGGGACACTTGTTAGCTAGAAGGGAGTCCTCCCTGCAGGTCGGGGACCTTCCAAAGCCTGCCTTGGATTTTATACCTTTAACTCCTGCCCTTAAAAACTGTTTCTGCCTCAACGTGAACGCTACCTACCTTCTGATCTGAGACCAGCCTCACAGCTTCACAGCCCATCAGGGAGACTGGGAGGAAAATGTAGATAATGTGTTAAATTATCATGTGATTTCTTAGCTTTTATCTGCTTTATCCTCACCCTTGTGGGCAGTTACTCCTATTAACCCACGTACTAGGGTGAAGATTCAAACTCGGCTCTTTGAACCATGATACTGCACAGGGTATTTGGGCCATACTGCACCCATGAGGACTTCCCCTCCCTCCCCCTCACTCCCTCTCCTCCCCCCTCCCGCCTGTCTCAATATCATCCATCTTTCCGCACTCAGTACCACATCTCCTAGGGAACCTTCTCAGTAGAATTTTAAGTCCTCTAAGCTCCCATAGCCCATTGTTTGTGTGTCTCTCAGCATTTAGTTGTCTTTTATGTTATTAGTCAGCCATGTACCTCCTGTCTCTCTTGCCAAGTTCTTTTAGAGTAGAGATGAAGCCTTTGACATTTGGGGCCCCCATCACCTGGTGTCTGCACATGGTAGGCGCTCAGTAGATGTTTGGGTTAATTAAGTAAGTGGAGTCTCAGGACATGGTTGGGCTCACTGTGTAGACATTAGTACAACAGTGTTGATTTCCTTAAGACATTCAGAAAGCAACAGAGAAAGCCTGAAGCCTAAGCCCAGAGGTCTCTGTCTAGCTACAACACTTGGTGACATTTTGCTCCTTTCTACACAGAGGAAGTTTGTGGGATGTTAGTAGAACCCCTTGCAGGGTTGTTTATGAGTTCTCTCTAACCTTGAAGAATAATAGGTGAGGTGCAGGCACTGTGACACAGCAGGCTAAGCCACCACTTGCAATGCCCACATACCATTATTGGGGTACCAGTTTGAGTCCTGAATGATCCACTTCCAATCTAGTTTCCTGCTAATGTGCCTGAGAAACCAGTGGATGATAGCTCAAGTACTTGGGTCTCTGCCACCCAGGTGGGAAACCCAAATGGAGATCTTGGTTTCTGACTTCATCCTGACTCCTCCCTCCATCCCTCCCTCTGTGTGTGTGTGTGTGTGTGTGTGTATGTGTGTATATATGTATGTATGTTTGTGTCTGTGTGTGATTCTGCCTTTCAAATAAATAAGTACATCTTTTTTAAAAAGATTAGGTGAGCTTTGGGAAGGGGAGCGGATCCTGACTGTTTGCATCTTTTGTTACTGCCTGCCTCAAGGCTAGGGACACAGCTGGTGTTCAGCAAATACTTGCAACCGGTGTGTGACAGAAGGATGGGTGAGATGGATGGAGGGAGGGATCCATCCTGTTGGATTTGGTATGAGCTGATCTTTGTAACTTTATACATCATGCGCATATTGAAATTAGTTTATTGGGCACTCTGCCCCAGTCTCTACAGAAGAAAGCTGAAAAGAGACAACAGCAACCCATTAAGCTTAAGATAATTCATAGAAACTTAACTGAAAAGTGATCGCTGTTAAATATAAGAGTGGGAATAAGAGAGGGAAGAGATGTGCAATTCGGGACATGCTCAAGCTGACTTACCTCAAATGGTAGAGTTAGAAACATACCAGGGGATTCCAATTCAATCCCATCAAGGTGGCATGTACCAATGCCATCTCACTAGTCCCAGTGATCAATTTCTGTTCACAATTGATCATAATGATAGGACTAAGAACCAAAGGGATCACATAAACAAGAATAGTGTCTGCAAATACTAGCTGATAGAATCAAAAAGGGAGAGAATGATCCAACATGGGAAGTGAGATACACAGCAGACCCATAGAATGGCAGATGTCCTAAACAGCACTCTGGCCTCAGAATCAGACCTTAAGGCATGCAGATCTGGCTGAAATGCCCATGAGAGTATTTCAGGCATGGAAAGCCAAGACACTCTGGGGGAAAAAAAAAAAACACCTTAATGAAAGATCTCCGTGAGTGAGATCTGAGATCCCAGTAGAAAGAATGGGTCATCAAAGAAGGAGGTACCTTTCTCTGAAGAGAGGAGAGAACTTCCACTTTGACCATGGCCTTGTCTAAAAATGATCAGAGTCAGTGAACTCAGGGGGCTTCCATAGCCTTGGCAGCTCATGACAAGAGCCTAGGGTGATTACTGATGCCATAAACAAGAGTGTCAATTTGTTAAGTCAACAACAGGAGTCACTGTGCACTTACTCCTCATGTAGGATCTTTGTCCTTAGTGTGCTGTACATTGAGATTTAATGCTATAACTAGTACTCAAACAGTATTTTTCACTTTATGTTTCTGTGTGGGAGCAAACTGTTGAAATCTTTACTTAATGTATACTAAACTGATCTTCTGTATATAAAGAATCGAAAATGAATCTTTATGTGAATGGAAGGGGAGAGGGAGTGGGAAAGGGGAGGGTTGCGGGTTGGAGGGACGTTATGGGGGGGAAGCCATTGTAATCAATATTCTGTACTTTGGAAATTTATATTCATTAAATAAAAGTTAAAAAAAAAGATAATTCATAGAAAAAGCACTCCTCAAATATGGAAGTGAATTTGGTGACCCCCTTCCTTGGGAACAGTCCCATGCAAATGACTAGGAAAGGACATAGAAAGATGAGTAGAGGAATCAGAAAATCCTTCCACTGCTCTTAGCCTGTGGCAGCTGCTGAGTGACAAAATGCTTCCTCTGTGTGTGTGTTTCTGATGACCTTTTACTTACACTCCTAGGCCCGGGTGATGGCAACTATTGGAGTGACCAGGGGACTCGGAGACCATGACCTGAAGGTTCATGACTCCAACATCTACATAAAACCATTCCTGTCTTCAGCTCCAGAGGTACCACATGAGGTTTTTGTTTGTATTTTGTACAATGAAATATTTTCTATTATTCCTCCCCTGACTCACACCCCACATCCAGGCCGTAGCCAACTTGTGTCACATATACTTCTGCTCTGTCTCAAGTCTGCTTCTTTTTCCACTTTGTTTTTGACTGCCATGCCCTCATCACCTCCCATATAGCCTCCTAGTATCGTTCCCTACGTCCTGCCATTCATCCATGTATTATCAGGTGAATTTTCCTAAAGAACCATTCTGCTCAGAAACCTTCAGTGGAACCTCAAGCCAGACTCTTCCTATTGGGATTCAAGGCTTGTTATAATTTGGTCTGACTTTCTAACCTGATCTTTGTCCCCCTGCACCAGCCAGAATGAACCTGTTGTTTCCTGCACATAACCCTCGGCTTCCCATATTTACTCAAACTGCCCCTTCTGCCAAGAATGTCCTTTCTCCCCTTCCTCAGACACCAGATTCTTCTTTTTCTCCAACTTTAAGCTCAGATACTTCTGTGGAGGTGACCCCGATTGTCCCCTCCCCCAGCCAGAAGCAGTGTCTGTCTACTGGGGGTACACATGGAGCAACTTCCTTGTCCGGCATGTTCACTGATGGCCTTCTACCAGTTACTCATATGTACCTCATCCCTTTGTTAGGTCTCAGTTACCTGGAGAGCCTCACTCAGTTGATACTTGGAGAACTGAAGTGAAAAACACGTTGGTCTTACTTCCCATCCGGTTCTGTGTTGACTTCAGAAAGTATATCGTTTTGAAAAGATTTTGCTTCTGCCACTGTAACAGAATACCACAGCCTGGGTCATTTATCCAGGATAGAGGTTTATTTAGCTCATTGTTCTGGAGGCTGGGAAGTCTGGAGTGTGGCACTAGCATCTGTTCAACACGTGGTGAGGGCCTGCTGAGTGCATGAAAACATGGTGGAGGGCATCATCCGTGGCGACACAGCAAACATGCTACTTCAGTCTCTCTTCTCCTGAGACAGCCAATGATGTGGTCTTGGCAGCCCCGCCCCCAGGACCTTATCTAATCCCAACAACCTCCCAGAGACCCCAGCTCCAGGTACCTTTAGCATGGGATTTCCAACACATTAAATCTGGGGGATTCATTCAAACCATGGCAGCTCCAAATTATTCTAAAGACATAAAAAGATAAGCTGGGCCGGCGCCGTGGCTCACTAGGCTAATCCTCCGCCTTGTGGCGCCGGCACACTGGGTTCTAGTCCCGGTCGGGGCACCGGATTCTGTCCCGGTTGCCCCTCTTCCAGGCCAGCTCTCTGCTGTGGCCAGGGAGTGCAGTGGAGGATGGCCCAAGTGCTTGGACCCTGCACCCGCATGGGAGACCAGGAGAAGTACCTGGCTCCTGCCATCAGATGAGTGCGGTGCGCCGGCCGCAGCGCGCCGGCTGTGGCGGCCATTGGAGGGTGAACCAACGGCAAAGGAAGACCTTTCTCTCTGTCTCTCTCACTGTCCACTTTACCTGTCAAAAAAAAAAAAAAAAGCACCTAATAGCAACGTGGAGAGGCTGAGATTCGGTGGCTCAGATGTGGCAGGACTGGCATCCTGCCCTTCTCTTGACTTTTCCTTCATAGTTGCAAGGTAGTGGCAGCAGCTCTAAGCAAAAAATATTTTCATTCCAGATGGGAAGAAGGAGAAGCCTCTATCCCAGCAGATATGTGCTTGCATCTCATTGGCCAAAACTGTGTCACATGACCATCTCCCCTACCTGCAAGGGACACTGGGAGAAAGAGAGCTTTACTCCAATTTCTACAGTGTTTGCCGTGCTCAGGCAACACCTTGAGTGGGAAATGCCCAGGTCATTTAGACATAGCTGCATGCATGTTCTTCCCAAGAGTAGATACTATTTTATTATTTTTAAAAGATTATTTATTCATGTGAAAGGTAGTGTTACAGAGAGGCAGGGACAGAGAAGTCTTCCATCTGCTAGTTCACTCCTCAAATGGCTGCAACAGCTGGAGCTGGGCTGATCTGAAGCTAGGAGCCAGGAACTTCCTGCGGGTTTCCCACACGGGTGCAGGGACCCAAGCACTTGAGCCATCTTCCACTGCTTTCCCAAGTGCATTAGCAGGGAGCAGGACTGGAAGTGGAGCAGCCGGGACTCAAACCAGCACCCCATATGGGATGCCAGCACTGCAGGCAGAGGCTTAGCCCACTGTACCACAGCACCAGCCCCAGCAGGTATTATTTTAATGAAAGCTCGTTTCATTAGAGGAAACAGAGAGTCAATCAAGTTAACTCCAAAAAAGGGCGTGTTTAGTGATACATTGGAATACTAGTTGGTAGTGTCCATGGAAGATTCGGTGAGCAGCCAGGGTTTGTGGAGAGTGGTTCTGTCCTGCAGAGCCTCCCCAGCAGGAGTTTGTCCACCTTCATGAGGGAGTTCTGCCGTTCATTAAAATTCCAGCCACTTGCCACATGACTGTGCTACCAAGCGACCCACTTCCTCACTCTCCCAATTCCACAGTGTTAGAGGGGAATCTGTTGGTTTAGAGTAGGCCACGTGTGACTGTCTTCCTTGGCTTTGGATGTGTCTTCAGTACTCTGTCCACTCCAGCGCTTTCTATGGGCTCAAGATGTGTCCAAAAATACATCTAGGTACAGGGGGACTAAGAGGCCACCGAGAGAGAAACTGCTGGGAAGTATTGGGCATGGAAGGTATGTATTTCCTGACATCACTCAGGGTTTCAACTGAGGGCAGCTTGCTGGAAATAAGAACGCTTCTCCCTGGGAGCCACTGAGCAATTCTGCAGGATGAGAACCATAAGGTATCCAAGGCCCCTCGGAGCTGGTAGGTCCCTGGTCCCCCTATTCTGGCCGACCTCAGGACCCATGAATTCCTGCTGAAACCTCTCACTGGAGAAAAAGCAATAAATACTAGACCTTGAAGACTCTTCTCTTTGATCTGTGATTATAAGTTATAATCCAGTTATAGCTTATAACTGGATTCATAAATGTCTTCATTTGTTCCCCTTAGAGAGAGGCATTTATCGTGTGAAATGGTGCCTCCTCTTCTCTGCTTCCCACAAGTGTCCCGAGGGGCTCCAGAAAACACGAATAAACCGTTTTGCTGCTTCAAGCAGAACAGAAACCTTCCTTCTCATCCCCTCTGCCAGCCACACACGTGCATAACTTTAGGTAAAGTAAGAAGCCACTCGGCCCGGTTTGCAGAACGCTCTGTGTGCATTAGCCTTTAGATCTCCCATTCATTCTGATGCCGTTGAGCCAAGGAAGACTCTGCGGATTTGAAACGTGGGGCTGCATGGGAGACTCCTTGAGGACTGAGTCGGAAGCCCGGCTGGTTGTGCAGAAACCGCAGGTCACCTGACTGCACTGACTTTGGTGTGTGGGGGAGGGGCTTGCTGGTTTCCTCAGCATTGGTGAGGGCTGGGATTTAGAAGGAAGCTGTCAACCTCTGCAAAAATGTACATGTTCTCAGAAAAATTATAGAATTAAATAAGCTGTGGAAGTTTTTGTAATCGTGACAACTCATATTGATAGCTAATAATAACAACTAACACGAACAATTTCGTCTTGGCCAAACACCAAACTAAGTTTTTTATTTTTAGTTGACAAATGGTAATTATATACATATAATACATTGTAATTATAGTTACAGTTAACTAGAGTCAACCTGCTGTACAGTCAATCTCTAAAAGTTATTCCTCCTAACTAAACCTTGTGCCCTTTGAACAATATTTCTTGTCCAACATACTAAGATTTTTACATGCAGTATTTCATTTAATCTTCCCAAGAGCTCTCTGAGGCAAGTATAATTATTATACCCATTTTACAGATTGGGAAACTGGGACATAGGGAAGTACAGTATAACTCCTTCAAGGTTGTACTGTTATTAAGGAGCAAGCTGGTGCCTGTACCAAGCTCTGTCACATGAATCAGGGTCTGATTGTGCAAGGCTGAGTTCAAGGAAATGCGTTTGGTCCGTGTCCTGAGGACCCACTAAGGACTGATTCTGGGGGCTCTGCAGAGGGCACCTTTGTCTAAACCCAGGGCAGCAGTGAAATCAGTGGCCACCGTTTCTCCAAGAAATAGTGGGCCTCAGACTGACGTTGTAGGAGATGATGGTGAATGGAGCAGGGAACTGGGAAACACAGTGTGTGCGAATCTAGGCCAGAAAGAGTTGTGGAAACCAAGATTGTGTGCCTCAAAGTCAGCTTCATGGGTATGGAGTGTGCGTCCTGAGCTTTTCTTGCATGGGATTAAAATTGTTGTACATTTTAAATGCTTCCAGATGGAGAGCCCGTAGGCAGAACCAGAAAGAGGGAGAGGAGCAGCAGCTTGCCCTGGCTGCTGTGAGAGAGAACAGAAGAAAGAGGATGGGTTCAGGCCCCCACCCCCACTTCCGTCCCCCATCCTTTGGGCAGGAACACCTTTCCCCTGGGTGGTAGTGATAAAATCATTCCCAAGAAAATTGCCAGATTACTGTATTCAACCCAGCTAGTGAAGAATCGGGGACGCCCTTGCTGTCTTCCTTGTCCCACCCTTCCTCACTCTGACTCCCCGGGAACATTCCCCTGCTCGGCTCTGTCTGTGCCAGGCGCGGGTCTTTATTTCACTTTTGGGTTCTGAATTTTAAATGCAGCTCAGCCTGCTGGTTTGAATGGTCGTGGGGTGGGATGTGATTAAGTTCTAGGAAAAGGGGGCTCAAGGGTCTTCTTGGAAATCAGCATTGTTCCCATTCATCATTAGAGCTCCTAATTCAATTTGATGAGTTCAATATAAATAAATCAAAAACATGTGGATTGGATTTACGTAAAAAATGCACAGGGGTTTAAAAATTAGAGAAGGGTTTCTGGCCAAACACATTTTCGGTTTCGCTGAACACAAGACGCTGGAAAAATCTCGAATTTGCCAAACCCAGGGAGCAGCCGCCAGGTTTGCTGAGCCTCCTTCAAGCCTTGCGGGGTTGAAGGCAGGGATTTCTGGCCCAGACCGGCATTCCACAGGAGGCCCC